AAAGGGGTCAAGAGCAGCCACTGGTTAGCCTCGGGTTTCGTCCTCAAAACCGTCGCTTACAAGTGAGCTCTGTTCTCCTTGGAGTTCTTTCTCCTCTCTCCTTCCTCTCTTACTTCCATTCCTCGGAACCATAAATTGTTTGACATCGCTACGATTACTCGATGGTCATCGTCAATTCCTGGCTTCAATTTAAGTTGTCTACTGAAGTTGGACAGTTCCAACCCCAGTACTTCGTCCAATACTAGCATGTGTAGTGAATGGTCCTTGAATCCTCTCATCGCATTCGAGATGTCCGACCACACCGGAGGTACTTCAGCTCTAAGTGGCCTCAGATTCTCCATCTGTATCTCGCGATTTGGGGCAGATATGATCACATCATATTTTCCTCCCAAGAGCAAAGCCACAATCGCATACACGAAGTTCAGTCCATCCGGGAGATGTGCATATCCAGGATACTGTGCAAACACGGCTCTCGGTGTTATTTTAGTGAAGGCACCCTCTTTCAGCTTCACCCATTGACTCGAGGATATCTTTTATAGATAGCCATACAGCGGCTTTGGCTGTCGTAGGCTCTCTGAGTCTGCTCAGGAAACCTCTGCTGTGTAGATGGACATTAAGGCCAGCGAACACAATTATAATTGGGTTCATATCTGTCTGCCTTTGCAAACCAAAACAAAACAGGTCTAAACTCGGATATTCGCGGCACTAAGTCTAAATTGAACAATTGGTGTGGATTGAAATCCAAAACGTTTTTGAGAAAAGTGATTGCCCTGAGGAATTTAGAAGGTCTAGCTCGGGCAGTCCGAAGACAGATAGGTAACACAGGAATCGGTGGGTGCAATAGACGCCCAGTTGAGAAAATTCACTGCCTTCAAGTTTTGTCTGTTTGGTGCAGCACCAAGCAGGGAAAGCTCTTTCTTTAGTAACAAGTTCGACTATTGTATTGCGATAGCCTGAAAGGACGTTTTTCATGGAAAACATTCTTATTTTTGTTATTTTTGGTTTTAAATCAATAATTTTTGTGCTTGATTGGGTAGTGAGATCACTATTTTTTAGATAAACTGATATCATCATACTGTGCTAGCTTCACTTTTTATCACTAATAATCGATCATTGTGAATAAATTGTATACACGCTGCACTGAGATAACATACAAGGATTCGTGGTCACTATTTACTAGAAACGTATGAAATTTATTGTGTCGTGTTATTATTATCAGTAGTCAGATTAAAAGGACACTAGTAATCGAATTGAGTGTATAGGCAGTAAGAAGTGATAATATAAAAATGAGTCTAGAGAAGTCAAGGATACCTAAACTGAGTGATAGCTCAAGGAAATTCATACGGGTTGCGTTAGGTCCAGGTCGACCGCTGCCAACATTATAACATCAGGCCAAAACAGAGACTTGGAGGTATATACGAAGTCTGAACTTGCGACTATCATAATCTTGGCTTTCCTCATTTCTGCCTTGTCATATGCAGCAAACATGGTCTCATCTTTCTTCATCGCCTTCAACCCACCGAATCTCTGAACATCACCTTCCTGATTCACTTGTTTCGGGTACGCTCTTTCTTTCACATGGCCTGGGGGTGCTTTCACCTGCCTGAACATCTTTACATGTTGTCCAATTGGCGTTCTCGTCGTCAGGAATCTTCCAGGTCTCCCTTCTCAATTTCCTTCGTCATGATTCAGCTTCACGTCTTGTAACGGTCTTGCATTCACTGGACCCATTGTATTGTTCGAGGGCAGTCTCTCTAAATCGGCAAACCTCAAGGCAGTTGTAGAGCTGAAGTTTATGCCCGCAGCTATTAACCAGTCCACGCCTGTTATTGAGTACAGTCCGTTTACAGACAATCTCGCTCCGTTCAACATCCTCATGGCATCTGCTGCAAAGCTCACCGTCTGAAGATTCAGTTTCATCAGATCATCCTTGTATATGTGCCAGGGAGAAGGTATAGGTCTCAACCACATCAGAGAGCTCCTGTTTGGGCGTCGTTCCTCTCGACTGTTGCTCGTCGTCTCTGATCTCGTATCCGATCTAGAGGTGCTGGTCGTTTCCACTGTCGGGTTGAAAGGCCCTAATCTTCGTCTAAGATTGATGGTTCTTCTCAAGGGCGCTTCCCCCAATCGATCTTGTACGTCCGTTCTTTGCCCTGGCTCGCTAGAGTTTCTTGGCCTCTAGTTCGTCACGGCTGGGACCGTTCCCAAACGTGTTTCTAGGTTAGGAGGCACAAAGGTTGAAATTTCCGGTTTATTCGATGTTTCTTCCTTCTTCAGCATTCCCGTGTCAAAGAGTACAACTTCCATTTCATCTAATCGCTCTTGGAAAATTCTGTTCAAAAAGGCTTGTCCCTCGATGCTATCAAAGTGGATGACGTCAGTAGTCAGTCTGGCCTGATCCATAGCTCTCAGCTCGTGCTCAATATCCATAAGGATCATCCGTCCAGCATTCTGACTCGCAAGATTCCTTAGGATGTTGTTCCACCTGATTACTCCTTCATTGTGTCTTCTCCCTGCTGCAGTCAACGTCCTCATTGGTACAATGCAGACGGTCAGGACCGCGCAGTTGAATCTCTGCCAGTGAGTAGTAAATAGGCACACCATCGTTGACTCCCATAGCGCCTCTTCCTCATCTGAGCTTCTCGGTATGTTATTCGTCCCTACTAGGATCATTACGTTAGGGATTCTCCCTGGGTTCATCAGCTCCACCATCCGAAATAACTGGGCTATCGTTACGCCTCCAAACGCCATCACCGTAGTGATCCAGGAAGTCCTCCAATTTTGGAGAACTCTGACCAAGCTGTCCCCCAGTATCAGATGTGATGTCCCAATTGGCGGTTGCTGCATGTTTACTACTGGGTTTCAAGTTCATCGATTGAAGCAGGCTTTCGAATCCGTATCCGGAACTCCTGTGAAGCTATGCTTCAACTGGTTGTTCTTCTGCACGTCAATCACTCGGGACACTTTCTTTGCCGGCATCTCTCGTATCTTTCTGTCTGGGATCCTAGAATTCCTTGTCGATTATGTTGCATTACTAACTCCCTCTCTGGTCATCACGTCTTGGTAGAGTTGTACTCTGCCCGTGTCATCGATTGTTCCATAGGGTGCATTCAACCCGGGCCCTGGCGCATTCCTGTTGGCAACCAGTGGTCCAGCTGTCTCTATCATATTCCTCACTGTTTGCTCCACGACTGGGTCACCTAAGGTGTCACGCGGATCCAGGACTGTCATTCGACCAGTTGTAGCCGTGAGTCCCGTTTCTGTAGTCTGACTCATTTCTCGAGGCGTCAAGAGTTCCATCGGGGGCTGCCCATGAGTAATATCCCTTGTAGGTATCACTTTTTCTACGGCTCTCGTTAACGACAGACGCTCCGATAGCTGCTTGTATTCTCGCCTCAAGCGCTCTATTTCTTCACCCTGCTTCTTGTTGCAGTCTTCAAACAGTCTGTTCCACATTTCTCTGTCTTTTTCCGTACTGAGCATGGTTTTGGTCATTTTGTCCAGCTCCCTTTTGGTCTTCTTCAGTTCTTCTATCGTTCCGTTAAGATCTTGCAAAGTTTCGTTCGTCTGAACCTCTTCTTCTACTCTCGCCCTCTTTGGAGGCACAGCTGCTCTCAGTTGTGAACTAAACGAGGCAGCATCGCTGTTCATCTCTGATGCATCCTTCTCAGACCAGGCCTAGGCTTGGTTGGCAGAGGCATCTCACCTGGCTGGTAGGTCCTGGAACTTCCCAATCCAGGCTCGTTCGCCAATTCACTTGCTAAGAGAGCCCCGTTTCTCCACCTCATTACCCTCATGTTCGGGCGGTCTATCAGTTCTGTTTCTCCATATGCTGCCATCAATAGGACTTCCGTGGGGAGTTCCCCACGGTTATCATGCCCCAAGATGTTTATTAAGGCGGCCAGTAACATGACTACCTCTGGGATCCATCAGCCGAAGATAGATCGCATCTATCATCAATCCTACGTACGCCTCTGCTTGATCCATATATTCGTCCAAATCGATGTTTTCTATCTTCTTCTAGATTCGATTCTTATTATCAGTTTGATCAATTGAAATCAGGTGAATAATTAAACGATCAATCCAGAAAAGAGGTCATTTGTCAGTTTTACTCTAATTGTATATTAAAATGTATTTCAAACAGTCAGATAAAAAGATTTTGATCCTAAAGTTTATTAAAGTCAGTTTGTTGCTAAAACTTTGGAATTCGACCTAAGAAAGGACAGTCCAAACTTGATATCTATTGTCTTTATATTGTTTTTATTGCTTGACTTGAGATTGATTGTGGGATATTTATGAATGCATAATGAGACCATTCGGGGTCCCAAATGTAGTCTGATTGTTCTGTGATGGCGGTATCATCGTTTGAATTTTGAGGCTAAATTTTTTTCTTGCTTGTGAAATTAAATCTATATTATGTGTGAAATAATCTATTATAAACCATGCCAAAATTTTTTGTAAGTCATGTTTTGTATGTTGTGAAACTTCATCTTTAGTGAAATTTTCTTTAATTATATGTAGGAAAGTTGAAAATAGTGTGATTTCATGTCGTACCCTTATATGTTTGGATGTCTCTGTCGGTGAGACATTTGAGATTGGGATTTCGTTTTCTAATATTGAAATATAACTATATATTATTGCAAAAACTTCATTAGTAAATATGGAGTTTGCTCTTTGTGAGTTATGATATTGTATGCTTTTTATATATTCTTGAAAATTCTAAAAGAATACTTTTGAAAATTCTAAGTCAAGATTGTCTGTTTGAATTACATATCTGCGGTGATTCGGGTTTGGTGTACTGAATTCTATGGTGTAGATTCCGTATTGTTGTGTTAAATTACATATGTCTTTCAGATAGTGATCAATAATTTGTCTTTTGTAATTTGTCTTCCTCCCTATGTCCGGTTTCTTAGGGTCCTCGCCTGTTTCCGCTTCTAAATCTCCGGTCTCTCTTGCTATTCTTGATTTTTTTATTAAAAAATTTTCAGTGTGGGTAAGTCCTACCCCCACTCCCCGGCAAAAATATCCATCGGCGTCCCCGTCGATCGCGTACCGGATATCACGTCGAGATTGGAAGCCGGAATGAGTAGTCGCCCTTCCTGGACAGCCCAGGAAGGATCCTCTCGTTCTGTTTTCATGTATTTCATGCTTTGACGATCTACATCTTGAATCGTGACACTGGTCTCCTTTGGGTCCGACGTCATATTGTTCAGCGACTTCAAGACCCGCAGATTCGTCAACTCTTGTTCGTAGGATTGCTGTTGCTCATCGTCCAATTCTACCTCGGGTTTCGACTGGTCCTCGATCCAGTCCTCGTCGTGATCATCGACTATGTCAATGTCCTGTGACACATTTAATTCTTCTAGACCCACTACTTCTTCCACTATCTTCTTTAGATCTATCCTGTCTACTACAAATTCGTCGCGGTAAGGGTTATTTTTCTTCCTGGCTCTTGTCCTGTCATTCTGTCGAGAAAGTATTGTGAACGGAAGATCTGGTTCCAAAATCTTGGGAACCTCTTTTTGTTCGGGGTCTTGCCAGTCCTCCTCTGCGTAGGGTAAGGTTTCTTCATCCGCTTCAATCACCTCGTTTGGATCCAGGTCCAGTGGTTGACTTGTTCCTTCCTCTACGACTTCATTCCCATCGTTGTTTTCCCTGGTGCCCTTCTCGTTGACCTTACAGGCAGGGTCCATCATCAGATAATCCCCCTCTTCCAAGTCTGCAGGTATACACCAACCTTCTGTCGAGGGGTTGTGTGGCCTAGTGTTTTCGTAATGAGCGGCTCGACCAGTATCCAGTCTATAAAAGCGTCCCTCTTGGTGCACATCCGTAATCATGAACGGTCCGCTCCACTTTTTAGGAGCTTTTTTGTTCCTTTCGGTGTTAGACGTTCTGAAATACCCATACGTAGTCCTCTACCGAATAAGCTTTTGCACCAGCTGTTTTTTTGTCAAATCTTTTCCTCTGCCTTGCCTGTGCCTGCTGAGTATTTCGTCTACATAAGTCGTTGACGTCTAATCACATTCCCTACATAGACCTGTGGTGACGTCTTCTTACCCTCATACTCTGGGTAGAAGAAAGTCAGGGGCAAAGACTTCTCGTGTCCGGTTAGCATCATGTGTGGACTAACTCCGGTGGTGGAATTTTGTGTGCTGTTATAAGCCCCCATCACTTGTGGAAGGTATTTGTCCCAATCGGTCATGTACCTGGAGCAATATGCCCTCAGCAACGATACTAAGGTTCGATTCTGCCTTTCTACTAAGCCATTCTTCTGGGGATGGTATGTCGTGGAGTGAGCTTGAGCAACCTGTGAGCGTCTCATAAACTCTTTCGTGAGTTCCCCCACAAAAGCTGTTTCATTATCCGATTGAAATGTCATCGGACAACCATGTCTCGCAATCCACGTATTTATCAGGTGATTGCACGTCTCTTCCGCTGAGGCAGTTATGCAGGGCACGGCCTCTGCATACTTCGTGAAGTGATCTATCATGACCAAAACTTGATCGTAACCACTGTCTGTGATACATATCTTTTGGTGATCAAGCTGCACCACCTCGTTGAATTCAGACGACTCGATTGACTGCAAAGGAAATCGCATTTTTTTGGATTCTTCGCCTGTTGGCATAACAGACATGCTGTTACCCACTTCTTGCATGCCTTTTTTCATTCCAGGCCACTCAAAGTGCTTCAGGATCCTCTGATATACTTTGTCGATTCCCTGGTGGCCCATCTAATTATGCGACCTGAAGAAAAGTTCTGTCTGATAGAGTTGCGACAACACTATCGCGTTATACTTGTACAGGACTTTGTCTTCTTCTCTTCTCTTGCAAGCCACGATCCCGTCCTTGTTCAGATATTAACTTCCCTCTTTCTGCTCAAAGTACTGTCTCAGAATTCGGTTACTGTCTTCCTCCTCCTTCTCGATCCACCTTTCGATCCACCTTTTCAGGTTGCTTGTCATGCGTTCATTTCTCTGCGCTTTTAGTAGGTCCGAGAGTCTGTATCTTGCCTTCAAGTACGTCTTCAAGACGCTCATCTGACTATTCAGCTCATTGGGCTGATGCGTGTCTTCTTCGATCTTAACGCACCAATTCTTTGCCAACGGCTGTGTTTCCTGTTCGATCGGCTGAAGATCAGTCCTGACTACTTCTTTTTGTGGCCACAGACTTATCAAACGTTTCGATACCGCTATTGTTTCCAGATCATCCGCTGCGTTATCAAAGACTCTTTCACCTGGTATGAGGTAGCGATCACTATCAGGGACTTGATATACCTCCCTGTCCAGATCCCTTGGTCGAGTCTCCACTGGCAGTGTGTGGATCGCTAGCTCTGACAGTTCCGATCCTAAGCTCGAGTTTCTGTCTGAGTAGGTGTCGATTCCTGAGTTTCGGGAGTTGTCATCCATTGAAGAGTCTGCGATAGAGCATGTCCCCTCCTCTGGATCGGTTCTGTGCCTTCTTCGCATCCATCCAAACTCCCCGGAAAAAAATTTATTCTCCAGGTCCTGTTTCTCATTATGAATTTTTTCATCTACATGACACTCCCCGGACAAACTTCCCTGTCCCGGGTATTGATCTTGAACTCGCCGGCTATTCTCACTGTTCGTCTCCCCGGACAAACAATCTTGCCCCAGGTTTCGTTCAACCTTCTCACCTTCTTTATCCTGGTCCTCAAAGTTAATGGTTTTCTTTTGCGTATCGTTCCCCTGTTCTTTCCGACTGTATGAAGTACTGGTTAAAACCTCGTGGATACCTGTTGCTGAACTATCGTCCTACAGTTCCTCTCGTTTTCTTTGTGTTGTCGTCTCGACGGCATGATATTCACCTTCTCACTGACTGTCTGTGACGCCATAGCTGCTGCCCACTCGGAGTCATCTCTGGTCACTTCTCTCTCTAACAATCCACCCAGCATCCGCATCACTTGCGGTGTGACCTGCACCGTTTTATCCAATAATGAGAGGCTGTTAATATTCATAAGAGAGAGTTCCTGCTGGACCAGGTTCGAGCGCAGCATTAGGTCTAAGGGCACCGGTTCCTTCTTCGATAGAATCTTTATCTCGGCTGTTTTCTCTACAGGTAACTCAGGATAACCTGGGATTGGATGTCTAGACTTATCCAACCATCTCGTCAAGGGAAGCGCTTCATAAGTTTCTTTGTCCAGAAACGAGAATCCTTCCTTGATTTCTGCCTGATTGGCTTGCTTCTGTTCCAACCTTTCATAGAACTCGGTTTTCTTGCTGAGGCTGTCAGCATCTTGGTGTTTGTCCCGCATCCTGTGCTCGATTATCATGTGGTAGCCATCTAATCTCACTATCCATCTTCCAATATAACATTGATACATCGAGTATGTCTTCAACCAGGCTAAAGCTCCACGCGTAATTTAAAGAGAACGCTCCCCAAGTACGCGCGGTACTTTTCCAAAATTATGGCTACTGTAAACCTTCCTGCTTTTGGTGCACCATATTTCATCTCAGTGTCACTTAACACCTTACTGCCATATGCAATGGGACGGAGAACGGTTCTTCCATTCCGTTCCTGCTCCTGATGCAGTATTCCCGAGATGGCTACAACTGATGCGTCTGTTTCAAGAACATACATGCCCTTTTCATTAGGCAGGCCTAGCACTGGCGCTTCGCACAGTTCCCGCTTTATGTTCTCGAAAGCCGTTTGAGCTTAATCGCTCCATTCGAACTTCTTTCCTTTGTTGCGCATCAGCTTCTGCATGGGATACACCTTGTCTGCATATCCTTTTGGCAATCTTTTCGGTAATAATTGGCAAACCCTAGGAAGCTCATGAGCTGTGTGTCCGTTCTGGGAGCCTTCCATGTCAACACAGCTTCTACTACTTCCGGGTCCGGCCTCACACCATGCCTGTCCACCATTCTTCCTAGGTACTTGATCGAATCCGTCAGGATCTCGCATTTCGATGGTTTGCTCTTTAAGCATGCTCCCTTCATCCAGTCAAAGACCTCATCGAGCCAATCAATGTAGTCTTTTAGGGTTGGTGTTGCTATGACCACTTCATCCACGTAACACATCACAAGATTCCCGTACTTCTTCGTCACTCTGGTCAAAGCCTGAGCATCAGTCTTTGAAAAGGGGCCATTGCGTTGCACAAGCCGAAGGGCATCCTATTCCACTGGTACAATCCCAACTCGCATGCGAATGCGGTCTTTTCTCTATCCTTCTTACGCAGAGGGACCTGCCAGAAGGCAGAACCCAAGTCCAATGTGGTGCAGAACTTGACATCGCCAAGTTTAGAGAGGCTCTCGTCTATCCGAGGTATCGGGTACGCATCTTTTATTGTTACCGCGTTCAAGTAGCGAAAGTCGCAACAAAACCTAAGCTGCCCCCTTTCTTCTTCGCCATCAATACCCCGCAAGCCCATGGCAATTTCGAGGGTTCTATCATGTCGTATTCGAGCAACATTTATATTTCCGCTCGGCACGCTTCCCATTTATGTGGCGTCATTCGTCTTGCGCCTTCCCTATGGGGAACGGCGCCTTCCTCAAGTTCGATTTCGTGCTCGACGAAGTTACAGCAACCGATGTCCGCCTTATGTTTTGAAAATACATCTGCGTTCCAATTTGAAACCGCCCGCAATAATTCAAAATCTCCGTCACCTAGTTTCCCTTTTAAGTGTTCTATTTCTGGCAAAACCAGTTTGTCAGTTTCTAGTTCATATGACGAGGGGTGATCCGGAAAATTCGAGCAGCTCGACAAACCTTCGTCCGTTTCGGACTTCAGTGAAAACAGTTTATGAAGAGATTTTAATTTATTAATCCTTTTTAATGTTTTATCTTTATTGGCATGATAAGGACAGTCTTTCACACAAATCTCTTGTCGGTCCTAATCGTCGGTCCTCGTCGGCAAAGCGTAACCAAGTTTCTTTCCACGCTGGATTGTAACCGTGGTGTCCAGTGTATTCAATAACACACTGACACACAGTCCGTTTTGAGTTACCGAGAAGCTCCGGCCTAAAATCACTGGATTTTGACTATTTGGATTCGGTACCAAACAAACCTGTTTACTATCACTTAACGAATTTAAATTTCTGATTCTATAAATTGCTACTACCGCTTGTCCCGGCTGTAGTTTTACCTTTCTATCTAAAAAGATTGGTTACTTAATTTCACCTGTTATTATTCTATTAACTGGTTTTTTAACATACTTCCGGTCCGGGTTTCTAATCCTTATTAGACCGTTGTTTAAGTCAATCATCACGTCAAAATTCCTGGTTAAATCTCTGCCCAAGATGAATTAGTCGGAGTCATCCAGATTCTCTACTACCAGGAAGCTCATCCAAAAATCCCATCCTCCCATGTGGAGGACCGTTATTGGTGTTCTTCCGGCTACGTAAATCGCTCCTCGATTGGCCGCGGCCAGTCGGAGATTCGTCGGAGTTAGATCTTCCCTCGTGAAGCCCATTCTTTCCCAAGTTTTTATTGGCATCACACTCACTACCACTTCTGTGTCCAGAAGCCCCGTGACACCGATTTTCTTTCCGTTGGTGTCGAGCAGATGTGCAGTTACATCTGCTTCATATCCAATGCGAACCGCTCATTGTTGCATCATGGCGTCATTGCCTATTCTACGGACTTTGAATTCTTCTTCACCCAAAGAGATCTGTCCTATTTGGTCACTGTCTGTTGTCACATATGTCCTAGTGTAGAGGCTAACTCTATCCACGTTCAGCATCACTTGAATCGGTCCATAGACTTCCACGTAGCGCCCTTGAAGCTTCTTTATTCGAGGGCCACCCGTTGTTAGTGGTGCTCGCACAGCTCTTGACTCAGTGCACGACTCCAACTGCCTCAGATAATCTGCATATGTGTCCAAATGCATCAAGGTGAACTCTGATGGTTCACTCAGATTTCTGATTACCTGGTGTCCCGCTACCGAGATTCTCGATTGTATTTTGCTTCCTTGTGGCACCATACCGAACCTCTGCCGTAGATCACTCGGTGCTTTCGTTTCTTTGACCTCTGGTGCCTCGAAGGCGTTCAGTTCTTCCTGCAATATCTCATTTTCCAATTCGAGCTTCACCTTTTGTTCGATCTCCTTCGTTACCAATTCCTGCTCGACTCTATTTAGAGCGTCCCTCGCGGCTGCTCTATAATCAATCTGGAAGTCATCCGCCGCAGTCACCGGTTCCGGTTCACATGTCTCTTCCGTTACCGCGTGCATTTTCTTCGTTACCAGCTCTTGCGGTTTTTCTTTTCTGCGCGCCCACGCTTCACTCAATAGGCGAGCCTTGCTGGCTTTTACACCCGATAAAGCTTCCTCATGCCTTGGATGCTTGTTGTCTGCTACATCATCCCAGAATTGCGGACAATCCAGTTTAAAATGACCTTCCAACTTGCAAAAGAAACAACTCGGGTCAAATTTTGCAATTACTCCTCTCATGAAATCTTCATGGTCGACTTCTGACGCATTTTCGTCTTCGAGGCTAAAACCTATTGCTTTCATGCCCTGTTTGTAAGTTGGGCATGCTGACACATGAGGGTCCGTCGAACTGCAATTTGCACAAGAGGTTCTCTTGTCCATATCGTCCCTTGGTTTATACCAGTTGTTCCCTTGGTTTGCTGGTCCGTTGTTAAAAATGCCATAATTGTTCTTGTAATATCCAGATCTCGATGGAGGCTTCAGCTAAAGATATTCTTTTGACTTGAGTCTCAACTCCTCTGGTGTTGGCTCATTGGTTGAGAGTGGTGCGTAATGCGTTGCTAAC